AAGCAGGAAGCTGCGCTTGTCAAACTGCACCTTAACGACGTCCAACCAGGGGAACGCTTGCATGGGCACGCGATCGTCCCCCAACGCCTCGCAGATCTCGATGCCGCGCGCGTGCACGCCGAGCCACACGTGCTGCCCCCTCGCCTTCTTATCCTGACGACGGACGACGTAACATCAGAACGTATGCGATGTATGATTTTTTTTTAAATATTTTGTTTAGATCGTTTTTTTTAAATACAACGCTTTTTTCATTTTATTGTTTATTTTTTTAATTTACGTGTTTTTAAATTCGTTATTTTTTATTATTATTTACGTTTATTTAACGTTTATTAAATAATATTATTGAAATTTATTACAATTTAATGTAAATAAATTAATTAAAATGTATTTAAATGTAAATTGAATTTTGTATGATTTTGTATATGAATTTTAATTTTAAATGCATGACGAATAATAATAATAATAATAATAATAATAATAGCAATAATCATAATAACAATCATCATACTAATCATAATAGTAATAATAACAATCATCATCATAATAATAATAATAATAATAATAATAATAACAATAATACCGTGTATAGCTTGTAGAAGTGTACGCCATATTCACTGAGCAGTTTTACGTCGTTGAGGAAATTTTCCTCGGCGTGATCCTGGTCCATACCATAGTTGTCACCATGCATCTTGGGCAGGTGATGCCTTCACACAAAACACATAATCAATCAATCAATCAATCAATCAATCAATTAGATAATCCATCATTCAATCAATCAAACAATTAACCAACGAATCTCAATTAATAGATACATCGATCAATCGTTCAATTAATCATCAATTAATCTATCTATCAATCGATTAATCAATCAACAAATCTTAATTAATAGATCCATCCACGCATCCACTAACAAATCAAGAAATTCAACTATGCCTGCCTCTCATCCCTTCCTCCTCCTTCCCCCTCGGTAGCTCTCCCCCTCCCCCTTCCCCTCGATAGCTCTCCCCCTCCCCCTCGCACGCGCGCACGCGGCGTACCACGTCAGCGGGAGGGTTGGATTAGCCCTCCTCAGCTGTCAAATTCCCCGCTGCCTGCGGTGGAAGGCCTGAATTACCCCTCCCCCTCTCCCTCCCCTCTAGC